AGGTCTTGCTGGATTGCATTTATGAAAAATAGGCTGGTCCTAATTTCATGAAGTAATTCCTACAACAGAGAAAATGTTTTCGATCGGGCAGGCAATAATTATTTTCCATCTGCCGTAATGTCTGCTGRTACATCTCAAGGTGGTGAATTGCACAATCTGCTTCTTGCACGTCTGTCGGACCGGAGCAGAGCGGAGGTAATGTAAACTGGACTTGAAACAGTGCAGCTGCGACCTGCGCAGCGGAGCGGAGTGGAGACAGAATGCAAGTAATGTAAATCCGGGGTCAGCAGAACCGCTTGCAGACCAAGTCTGAGTGCTTGAAACTCTGGATGAAATAATATAATACTTCTGTAGGATCTTTTTGAGACTGGAGCTGTTTTAAGATGGTGGCCATCCAGTTTGGCCTTCATTCAGACAAACTATTGGCACCTTAATTTGGTCTGAATTAAAGTTTGTTTGACCAAACTGAGGCCATTCAGAGAGCTATCTGCAGCAGGTTAGATACTGCTTAAAATGTTCCACAGAACTCCAGTTTGAGCCATCCTTTTAACCAGTTACCTTTTACTCCAACTAGAAACTCTCTCCTCTCTGTCCTTTGTGACCCGCACTAATTCAAAATAAAAACATTGCAGAGATGTGCAGGATAATTCACACTGAGACCGCTCCAGAAAGCCTCCACACTTCACTGCAGGACGAACGCACGGGTGAGCATGGAGACGGGAACACGCAGAGATGAGATACAGAAGATGAACAAAACGAGCAAAAAGATGAACGCTGGACTGAATGGGTGCACCAAAAAAAAAAAGAAAAGAAAAAAGATTTACATTTTCTCTTCCCAGATAGTTTCCGGGATAGGTTAGAAAGTTCTATCCAAGGTGGAGAAAAGAAGGATGACAAAACAAGGAAGCACTTAGACACTGAGGGATGGAGGGAATTAAAAACAGGATCTAAAGAAGAGGGTGGTGACAGCATTAAAACAGAAAAGAAAGCTGGGATGCGACAGAGAAAGATGGGGCAGTGAGGAGCGTATAGAGAAACAGAAAGATGAATGGGATGCAAGACTGTGGAGGGAACCAAAGCACAATATGGAGGCTAAAAAAGAGGAGAATTGATGGTTTGGGGGAGGCGGGAGGGAGAATTATGGCTGTGAGCAGACATTGGAGCTGAAGCTTGGAAAGAAAGGGAGGGAGGAAGTGAATGTTAGGAGAGGAAAAGAAAGACGGAGAGGAGCAGGACTGTGTGAAGTGTAATCATCCTCCTGTCACTCCTCCACCTCGGTGTCACCTCTCTGCATTTTCCCCACTCAGCACTCCTGTCTACATGCCAATAATCTGTTTATGATGCTTAGGAGCAAACCACTAAGTCACAGAGCGCAGACAGGCCAGCTGCCACGGGAGGGGACTTATCTTCAGCTGCAGAGCTGTGGTTTGATGGGTCCAACTAAAGTTTTGTAGTGTTCAGCTTAAATTAAACAGAACTTTTAATAACTGAGCAACAAAGTGAAGATATGCTCATTTTATATTCTGTTTTTTTTTTCTTCTTAAAGCAGGGGTGTCCAAATTTTTCCCCAAGAAGTCCAAAATAAAATCTATTCAAAGGCTGTGGGCCAAATGCAATAATAATAATAATAATAATAATAATAATAATAATAATAATAATAATAATAATAATAATAATAATACCAGAGATGTAAAAATAAATAACTAAATAAAAAGTAACATTCAGGCCTAAAATACAATAAAACGCCTTAAAAAACAAACACAAATTAAATTTAATTTACTGCTTTTGAACACTTTAGAGTAAATTCACAAGCTTGGTCTCTTTTTAAAGCTAATAATCTGAATTTTTAACTTCAGCTGTCGTATTCTTTGTAACTGTAAGTAGTATTTCGTATATTGAAGTAAAAATACAAGAAAATAAGACATTTTTCTCCCTAAATTTTTATTTTGTACTAGTAAAGTATCACAGATCATGAAAGGAATGAGATATTAAGAAACAATTTTTACTGGGATACAATATTAATTCCTAACTATTGCCAGTTCAAATTTGGTAACAGTAGCTTAAAATTTGAATACTTGAGACATAATCCAGCATGTCCCATTTGCATATTTGTACTCATGTACAAATATGTCCAAACTGTACACTTTTTCTAAACACTGTAATTTCTACATGCTTCAACACAGAGACTTCAATCTGGGCTCAAATTAAAGATAAAAGTCCCACAAAGCACATTCTACCATCTATATTTACTCACAGCATGGTTAAATTACCAAAAAAATATTAATATTCTGAAATATTTATACGAACTAGAGTACATTCAGTCAATTTCCACCAACAAACAGCCAAAACACAACAATAAACAAATATATCCTTATTTCTTTCAAAGCATTAGCATTCTACACAGCTTATAAAACCACCAGCAGTGAAAAAATATTTGTTTTTCACATTTGATGCACATTTGTCCTCAAATATGATGAAATTTGCCATTCAAAATGGCCGACCGGAAGTGTTTTTTCCGAACATTTTTACTTCTCCTGGCCACAAAAATCACTCTTCTATGTCTTGAAGCACTCGAAACACTTCATAACAAACATATTTCCATTTTATCAGCATGTTTAATGGGCTAACCATCCAAAAAATGATGGAAAACAACGTTTTCTGCTTTGTCCACTGGATGGAGCTATTCACAGACAAATGACGACTGTCTCAAACTTTAGCCTTTTGCTTGTGATTGGCTAAGCAAAGTTTCCAACCCCTCAAACTATAAACCAAATGAAAGGTAAGGTGATTGGCTACACAGCTGTGGCATCAGAATGAAACTCGGAGCTGATTGGTCAATTCTACAGTCAATCTAGCCCGGGATGACACAATCGCAAATTTGCGATATTTCTCATAAATTATTGGCTCTGGAGAGCCGATTGATGAACCCAGTTGGTGAAATGAGGTGTCAATCAAAAGGGGAGGACCTAAACAGCCATTTTGAGCTCTTATTGGTTGTTTTTCTTACTTTAGAAGCCGTGTATGAGGTCTTAAAAGAGAAAAAAAATGTGCAAATGGAACACAGGCGGATGTTAAAATGACTGTAAAAAATGTATTTCACTGATAAGAAAAGTACTAAAGTAAAAGTCATAAAACTGCTCACAGTAATCAGGAAAGTTAAAGTACTTTTACACACACACTCTAACTGGTTCCACTAAAGAGATTTGATTAAATTGCTTTACATTTACTCAGTGGTGGGCACAGTTCCCCTAAAGCTCTAATAGGGGACCTGAAATTTCCTGATTAGTGCTTTAGGGTTTTTGCTCATTTTAAAATTTATCAGTGGATTAGCACTTGCTAAATTTAAAAGCACTAACTCAGGTCTTTAAATTTTTTTGATCAACGTTAATGTTAACAGCTGAAAGCTGTCACACATTTTGGTCATACGTATTGACAATATATGAACTCAAATAAGGCTGTGGAATGTCAATGATAAGTATTAAGAGAGCAACATGGCACCATGTGACTCATGTTGTCTTTGAAGAATGTTTATGGGTTGACTGGGTCATTTTAGTGCTTTAGAATTAGGGGACCTAAATATTTGAGTTAGCTTTTTAGGGCCAGTGGAACTACATTTTTAGATTAGTACTGTCCACCACTGTATTTACTCATCTCAGTTTAGTGGAACCAGTTGACATAATTTGATAAGGTAAATCCAGCATTTCATTATTTAGAGCGCAGAAACAACTCCCTTTGTGATGAGTTTAGTCATATTAAATTTTTAACATGTAACTATGTGTTACATTTTAAAGTATTAAAAGTGTAATTTTTATGTTTTGAACATAATAATAAAAAAGTCAACGTTACAATCTAAATTCCAAATCCTAAAGAAAAAAATTTAAGTACTGTAACAAAGTAAATGTATTTAATTACTATGCACCTCTGTGTAATACATGAAATGAAAACTAGTTTTAAAGTAAAATTATTTTATTTTTTATGATTACACTAGCAGCCCGTGCACTTGAAGAACGTTTGACGAACTGATCTATAAATCATGCATTTACGCAAAATATAAAGTTGTGGTAATAAGGGGAGATAATATGCAAAACAAAAAAGACAACTTTAAAGTTTGAGTGTGACATCTTCAACTTAAAGGGGACATATCATGGGAGGCGGGGCTTGAAGCACCTTAAAGGAACAGTAACAAAATCAGCTACTTTGAGATACACTCCAGGAAAGGGGTGAAGGAGGAGCTGGTCAAGTTAGAATAAGGAGGAATTCAGAACAAATCATTCCAATTCCACTTTATATAGACTCCAACTGAATAATTTAAATGTGAAAAGGAAGGATTTAAATATGATATGTTGACTTTATCATGGGACAAATTTGTAAAAAAAAAAATCACAAAGCTTAAACTGTGATTGTGTTAAAACCTGAACTTATAGATGTTCAGTTAAGAAAAGTCCAACTTTCTGTGACCTATTTAAGCTTTGAGGGGTGAAAAATGTCTGAGCTGTGGAGCTCTGAAGAGAGCAGGGTTTCCTTGATGACTCACTCACAGAACCTCTTTGACTTTGAAATGTTTGCATCCAAATCTTTTATGAAATGTTTATTTCTAGAAACCGAGGCTGGTTGTGTGTATTCTCTTGTGCTGTTTGGTAATGACTCAGCAAGAACATGTATGGACTTTAGAGCTGAAATATATATGTAGATAAATTAAAATGACTATTAGTTATTCTGAGCCTGACGTTTCACAGGTTAAGGTGTAAAAACAGTAAACCTGATAATAGGCATGGATCAGGTTTTTTTTATTGATGTATAAAACAAGATGTATCAGTACCTGGTTCTATTTTAGTGCCACTGTTACTTCAGATGTGTCAGCGCTGACATGAAGGGAATAAAACCTCCTGTAAAGTCTGCAGATTGGGTCCACAAGGAGCAGACAGATGAAGATGAGACATGCCTCACTAACTTCTGGGCAGGTTTCCTAATAACACTAAGCTGCTGATCTACACTGATAGCAAACAGGGAAAACGGGAGAAACGAGAGGAACATTTTCAGTCTGAATATCGCAACAGTCGGGGTGATAAAAGAGATAGCGATGCAGTTGACCTGAAGATCTTTAAAGGTACGAAGAGCTGATCTGAGATTTGTCTTTTCACTGTTGCAGGAATAAGACGGGCATCCTGGGTTGGAGAAGTGAGAAGACGGAGATTGTGAATGGATATGAAGCCAAGGTAGATTTACTTGAGTTGTCCACCCCCCCACTAAAATCAGGTTTTTGAAAACCGTTCATCTGAGGAGCTTTCTCAGTTCAAACTGAGAAGACCTTTTCCACTCAAACACACCAAAACAATCTTTTCTTTTCTGTTTATAATAATAAACAATAATAGGAAGATGATGTTGAAAGTGCCAAATCACTGTACATGTTTAAGAGAATGATAAAGTCTAGATTATTAAAAAATATATATGAAACAGAATGATCTGTATCCAAATAATTTGTTGTTCTAGAAAGATTTGATGTTTTTGTTTAGTTTTGTTAACTGAAGATTATTATAGTTTGAAATTATGCTTGAGAAAAAAGGGGCAGATATAAGATTTTTTTCTTCTCTCTGCCACCTTTCATT